GGAAAATATACTTTCATATAAATTAAAAATTAAAAAGAAAACACCCTAAGATTTAAGACCACATATTACACAACTTGACGTAAACCTTGTCTTCTGTGTCTTCTTCTCCCTCACTCTGCCTCACTGGATGGCCAGTGACCTTCCTCCTGGCCCCAATTTTCAGAGCCCTTCTCAGTTGGGAGGGCCTGGCTGACCACAGCTTTCTCTTCGTGGGCTGGCCAGGGCAGAGGGTTGCCAGATGCACTTTGGTAAAAGACTTACTCGTACTTCCATCCGCTCATTCATTCAACCAATGGTTTTCCCAAAATAATATCGGCAATGTCAGTCCCAGGGTACTGAGTCTTGAGCAGAGGAAATTTGAGTTTTCAGGAGGCAGAGGGGAAGATCATTTGAATGACGAAATTCAGTGACACAAAAACCATGACATGGTAGAAACATCACTTATTCACTGACTCACCAATTTTTTGTATCACTTATTCACCCAACAGGTATTCACTAAGCACCTGGCCTCAGCGAGTTCCTGCACTAGGAACTGGGCAAAAGAGGAAGGCAAGGACCCGGCACATAATCAGAAGCTCACTTAATCCATCACGAAACTTCCCGCTGCCGCTCTGGCCAATTCAGAGGAAAGGACACTGGCATCAGACCATCAACAGAAGGCATCTGGGTGATCATCGAGTATGACCTTCTTCCTCCTCTCTTGACATGTGGGGGCATACATACGCTGGTATGTTAAACAGCTACCCAAAGACATGAAAACAGAAGGTTCTCCTGCTTGGTTGTCATTGTACCACAAAGGACAGACCCTTGAAATCAAGGACTTGACCCAGGATGTGGAAGCTGCCTGATTCACCTTCATCATCCTCACCTGTGTGCCCACCCTCGTCTCTCATCTGCGACTCTAAAGCAGCCTCCTATCTGGTCTCTCTGCTTCCACTCTTCTCCTGGAAGAATCTACTGTCCCAGAAGCACTGTCTGTGATGTTTCTAAAACCTAAGCAAGATGAGGCTGGTTGCCCCAATAAATATACTTCAGTGACTTACTACATCACGTAGAATAAAATCCACGGCCAGTGGCCCTGTGTCACCTGCCACCCTACCACCTAAACCCCCCCTCTGCTTCCTCCAGTCATTGTCTCCCTCCTCATGATGCTTGGTCCCCACTGACCTTCTGGTTGTCTTTGGAAGAGACCAACCAGGTGTCAACATGTGCCTGGAAAGCTCATCTTTTCTGGGCTCAAGCCTTCTCTGTCTGCCAGCCTCAGCAAAAGCTGGTTTACTGGAGGTGCCTTCCTTGACCAACACAACGTGCAAAATTTTCCACTGTCATTTTCTATCTTCTGATCCCTGTATTTATTATTACTTGGCTTTTGCAAATCCTGATTACGCAGAGACGTTAATCACGAATCATGCGATCTCCAATCATCATGTTCCAATCTGCCCTCCCGAAGGAGGAACAGGTAAGGATTATCCTACCTGACGATTATTACTTGGCTCTTGTACATTTGTTTATTGGCACTCCACCCACCAGAAATAAGCTGTGTAATATAGAAGGTTCATCCACACATTTCAGAACAACAAAAATAAAGAAGGCACCCAGTGAATATTTGCTGGCAAAATATGTCAATGTCCGCGGGAATAAACCTGCTTGAAATCCCCAAGCCTGGGTGACTCTGGGTGAAAAGGAAGTAACAATACTGTCTTCTCTGCCTACATGGCAACCTTTCTGGGATGCCAAGGTGTTGTAGGCACGAAAGCTCTTTGCAAAAATCTCAGGTACTATTTGGTTCTGAATTTTATGGAGATTTTAGGCTTCGTAACTAGTGGTAGGAATCAGCTTTCAAAGCCCTCTTAGGATTTTGATTTCATCAGATTGAGTAGTTTAAATTCCTTTAAAATTCTAGTTTTATGATCCTTTGTTTATAGCTAGCATTTTCCTCCAAAGCACAGTGAGATTCGATTTGTTTTCATTTTGAAGCCAAAATTGATGCACTCACATAGTTTCCCAAATCAAAATCGTATCAGGTGCTTCATTTACAAGAAACGTGTTTGGATCAGGCCAGGCCCAGTGCCCCAGGCAGCGACAGCCCTGTCAGACGCCCCGCTCCCTCCCTGCTCTGTGCGCAATTTCACTGAGTCTCTCCTCATTTTCTAGCACGCTCTCAACTGCCAGGGACAACTTGCTGCTCAGTGAATTCAGATGAATGTGACGATGGCAGTAAGCGACATCATCATCACCACCATCATCACCACACTTACCTTCTTCCGCACCCACTTCAAGAGCCGGGACCTGAGGAGTCACCTCACACAAAGGACTGGATTTTCAACGGGGTTCGGACAAAGTAAGATCAAGTGGAGGGAAGCCCATTTTTTTCAAATCTTTTCTCAAAGCTTCCCACATACACAAATGCGTCTAATGATTCCGGATTGTATTTTACGCACAACCTCCTACATCTCGGAAGACATGGCCGACCCTTGTAGATGGGCAGCTGTGACACACAGCCAACTGGCACAGGGACGCTCTATTCCCGCCACGGTCAGTTATAAAGCATCTCGACTTGTTTTTTCTTTTCTTTGTGTGGTGTTTTTAAAATCGTAAATTTTTATTTTATGTATCCTCAACAAAGTTTTCAATGCGTATAAGTGGTTTATTTCTATCTTTTTCTCATGGTGTGAATCACACCAGAGTGTTTATGACGGGACAGTTTTATTTTCATTATGTGGACGATGTTAATGAAACTAAAATAATTCAAAAGCAAAATTACAAAAGGTTAAACAACACATGAAGGAAATGAAGAAAAGTAAACACCTCTCATTCCTTTCAAAGTATACCATTCCATGGTATGTAGTTTTCCATACATACATGTTTCCATACATAATATGATCATTCCATAGTATGATATAGTTTTAAAATCTTGCAAATATCTACGTTTTTATTTCTTTTTCTTTTCTTTTCTTTCTTTTTTTTTTAATCTTATCTTAGAGGGGCGCCTGGGTGACTCAGTGGGTTAAGCATCCAACTTCGGCTCAGGTCATGACTTCAGGGTTTGTGAGTTCAAGCCCCGTGACAGGATCTGCGCTGTCAGCACAGAGCCTGCTTCGGATCCTCTGTCTCCCTCCCTCTCACTCTCTGTCTCTCAAAAATAAATACACACTGAAGTCTTCTTATCTAGAATGAAATATTTCTAAGGACAGAGATCGTGCAATTTTAACTTTGTAGAAGTTAACAGAAAAGAGTCTGATGCATCCATAAGATTTTCATAAAGTTCATACAGTTTAAAGAATCTAAACATCAGACTGAAGGACTCCAAACCATAACTCAAGAAATCAGCTGAGAATCTTAAGGTCTTTCTGACAGTTCTTGCCCCAAATGACTGATCAATCATTATCTTACCCATTTTACATGTTGTAGCATGTGTCAACATTTAGGATATGCCCTTATGTTCTGCTTACCACATCTCAGAAAGAATATGAAAAAAATCAGTGGTATGTTTACACTAGAGTATGAGAGGCAAATGTTAAATGCTGAGAAAGTTTGCAAGATGATGGATTGTTAAACATAGCCCTTGACTAGTTAAATTATATCAACTTAAAATTAAATCCATTACATTAAAACAGATGTAGATCTCATAAATTCCTAATTACTGTACTGTATTTGGCCTTTACATGAACCCTTGAGGCTAGTATTTGTCTGGTGGAAATACCACAATAGGGACTTGTACTTCATTTGGCTACCCAGTGACATCAGGTTGACAGAAACTGGCCAACGTGGAAATGTCTGACCAGGCAGACTGGAGAAGGTTATAAATCAGGCTCTGCCCCTCACATAACTGATTGGTAAACATTTACCAGCACATCACTGAATATAAGAGACTTACAAGAAAGCCCCCACTCCACTTTCTGGGACCAATCCATGGGCTTCATTATTACAGAGCTTTCTCTAAACTCCCCACCCCAAAGCGAGTCCATGATTTCTTTTCCCTGTTTATTCTTATGCCTCCTTGTAATTCTAACAAACACACATCACGTTTTTATTTACTTATTTATTTAATGTTTAGTTTTCTTTCCCTCTAGAGTGTGAGCTTTAACAGTATACTATTTTGTAGACTTTCAGTAAGTATTTACTGAATTCATAGTAAATGCATCAATTAATTAGCATAGAGAAGGAAGAGATTAAAGAAAATTCTTGCACTATTAGACAAACAGGCTTTTGACTCTTGCCTGGAAAGCCTCAGATAGAGAGAAGATAACCATTCAGTCACACAGGTCATGTGTATCTGAGCCAGAATAAATATTCCTACATGCATTTCCACTGAATGCCTTTCTCCATGCCAAGTCTGTATCCTCTATAATCCAGCCTAACAGGTGCATTGAAAATGAGGCAGGGGCTGAACAAGGGAGACACAATTTCATGATTGAGTATAAGACAATTACTCAGCAAGAATATGGGATGAAAGCATTTGAAGAAGTAGCATCCATCATCTCTCCTTATTCTCCAGGCACAACTTGGCTCCTGCCTCATGACAAGCAGGCACTTGTTTAACAACCGACCCAACTGCAACGTTCACAAACATTTTACAGGAAAAGCATTCACATCTTCGATATTTCACAAAGAGCCTGCCCTCTCAGTATGCACATACTTGATTCAGAAGTTAATTTTAACTTGAATAACTGAGCTCTCTGGACCTAGGGGGCACAGCCAACTTATACATAAAGCATTTATGGTGTGAGTTATTTTTAACTTACACCCAATCAGCCAGCCTGCTGCATAATAGGAGTATTGGATTTTAGTCTGCAAGGAAATTGGAGCTATTCTCCTGAGAATAAAGGCACAAACATGGGCAGGAGCCATGGGTGTGGCCCATGCTGTCATCAGGGACTCTTCACGCTGCCATTGTGTCATATTGCCTGGCATTCATAATGAAGATTCTGACACAATATACGACCCTGAAGTGTCTTTAAGTCTTCGATAATGTCAAGTCGCATTGTAATATGGTTGGCTTCATTCTGCTAGCTATGTGTAACCCATGTTAATTTATTGCAAGCTGGTAATTCAGCAAAAATGCCACATTCTCTGAATGTGGATATAGATACCATTCTTTGAATAGGATGTAAAATATCCTATATTACGCAGTAGGTTAAGAGATTGACACCAGCTGAGGAGAAGCTATCACTTTCTAAGCAGGTCTGTATGAAATCAGAGATTTTTAAATAGAAGATGCTGTCATGACTGTTACCATAATGATATTATAAACAGCAAAAAATAAAGATTAGTGTTAAATATACCCGGCAGTGTGCGTGATCCACAGGCTAATGTAATACTACTACTAATTAAATGCTTACTATGTGTCCGGCACTAGGCTAAGTATCGTCAAAACAGTGTCTCACTTAATGCCACAGTAACTGCAGATATTCAGTAGTGTGGTTCCCACTTCACGGATAAGGAAACAGAGTGGAGAAGATTCGCCGGTGCTGGGCATACAGCCAGCAGGGAAGGAGGCAGGGACGGAGCCCCAGTCCTGCTGGCTCAGCAGCCCTGGCCGTCCTTGATGGTGTTACTCGTCTGAAACTGAAAGGTAAACAAGGTTCCCAAAGAGGCGGAACCGATTCCAAAACAAGGGTGAAGTTCCCAGGACACCTCACAGGCCAGGAGAGCGGGAAAGGACTGTTGTAGGGCCAATCGACAGGGAGCCCGTTTTTACAACCTCAAAGAGAGCGAAGGCATGCACTGCTCGACCTCTCAGGGCTGTGCAGGCAGGAAACGGAAACAGGCCAGAATCCTAAGGGTGAAGGAAGTCTACACAGAAGGTTCTCGACGCCCGGGGGGATGCAGGCGTGCCGAAGACGCCCGTCTTTCTGTAACTTGGGAGATACCTTCTGCCGCGAACCGCCTCGTGGAAGACACGCCGCCGCCTCTCCTCGCGGCCTGCCCGGGGTCTGTCCCAGCGTGGTGTTCTCCACGGGCTTCTGCAGCGGGCTCCCTTCTCCCCCCTCCCCCAAGCAAGGCGCGAGGACGGACCGCTGCCTCCGGCCACCACAGGACCCATGGCACAGCCTCGACCTGGCCTGGGTCTGGCTCCCTCACTCCTCGGGGAAATGACACCATTTGACACGTCTTTGCAGACTATACACCCTACCCTTGCCTGTATCCCCCAGAGGTACTCGATAAAGGTCGAGTCCGGGCGCTATTTTCTTTGGTTTCTCTGTTCAAATGGAGACTTGGGCGGAAAGACCACGAAGCCAAGAGGAGGTGGTGCCGTGGCCTCAACGTCTGTACATCCACAAAATGACATGTCGAAGCCCTAAGCTCCAGCGTGATTTGGAGGTGCAGCAGGGTTGGATGAGGTCGCGAGGATGCGGCCCGTATTGGGATTAGTGTCCCCACAAGAAGACGGACAGGCCACAGCCCTCTCACCTCACTGCCTGGGGAGACGGTGACAAGGCTGCCACCGAAGTCAAGAAGAGAGACAGCCCTTGCCAGGAACTGAATCTGCCAGCACCTTGATGTAGGATTTCCCTGCCGGCAGAACAGTAAGAAATGAACGCCTGTTGCTTAAGCCACCAGTTGATGGTGCTTTATTAAAGCGGCCCAAGCTGTCTAAGACAGCAGTGTTTTCGCATGTGGCTGGTCTAACGCGACCTTTCGTTACGTGAGCCTGTTCTCTCTCAGTGACCCGTCGCTGGAAGTTAAGTCACGGACCGTTATTCCCTCAGGCTCACTGCCTGCCAACTTCCCTAAATAGACAGGGTAATCATCTACCCCCACTCTGACTTCAGCATTTTATCACTGGTGACAAATATAGACATAAGGAATATTCATTTGATTAGCACCTGTATCTCTTAATATATTTATATATTCTGATATAGCTTGAGAAACCAGGAAGTAAATTAGGTTTGAGCTCTAAAAAAAAGTTTGTCTGGATGATTTTGAATACTTGTTTTCACACATTCACGATGACACATTTCATTTTCCCTTTTGCCTTAGCTACACCTGAAATAACTCATTTATTTCCTTCTGCTAGATTTTATAGTGTTTTCCTCCTTTATCTACACTGCATTATGTATTGAAATAAACAGCAGCTGCAGAGTCAGAGGATGATGTTTTGATCCTTGGCCCGAAGCACTTACCAGCTATGTTACCCTGGGGCAAGTCAGTTAACTTAATGTTCTTTCCTGAAGGGTTAGGTCTGTGAGGCAGGTTTGTTGTTAGAACAGATAAAAACCAACGCTCTACCCAACACGCTTGGCACATCCTAGGCACTCAATATATGCTAACGTTAGCCATACAGAAGTTATTTCATTTTATATTACATCAAATTTCATAAAGTGTTTGCAAAACTTTTATCTCAGAAGCCCATGGATTTAAATATATACTAACTGGACAAACACCCCCCCATCCCCCCAAATAACTCACATCGTGCACTATGTAGGGAATCTGCTTCCTGAGGAGGTTGGGTCAGGTCACTTGTCATGGGATTAGGTACCTATACTTGGGGATGGTATATTAATCAAAATCAATATCCTAAAGGTGAGAATACATTTCCATCAACCGTGAGATAACCAAAATGGGTACATAAATGCCATACAAATAAACATAAGAAAATCACTCTTTAAAAGTATAAGATTAATGGTGTGCATCTAATATTCCTGCCCCAGAAAAGTTATCTTTTAAGCTAATTATTCATGTAATAAAGAGACTTAGTAATCATCTAGGGCTTTTTTCGAGGGATTCTTGCAAAGATACACAATTATGTACCCCGCCCCCCCCCGACACACACACCCTGCCCAAGACCAGTGTAAAACAAATAAAAACTGTCAAGGATCCTATAATAGGAGTTGGAGGGCAGAGGCCAGTGCACCCATCTGAGCTCCAGCCAAGACCCAGGAGAAGGAAGTTCAGGCACTGCCCCAGCGTCACCATGGCGACCAGGCTGGGGGGGGGGGGGAAGTAGCAGCGGATGCTTTGGAGATGCCCCTGACTAAAGCAAGCTGGAGACTGTTGGGCCACCTCTGCTTGGAAACATCTTCCCAAGCGGAACCTCCTGCTGTTTACACAAAAGGGATTCTGTCACCTGGGGGTCTGGGGGCCAGGCCGGGGAACATCCACCTGTGTGTTGTGGAAGTCTGTCCTAATAAAAGCAGCACTGATCTTTGCCAAACTGAAATGTGAACCTCTATCCATATAATATGTGCATATTTCTTAAACTAGCGGATCATGCAAAACTCAGTACTTCCATTAAATTCTCTAACTCAGAACAACCTTGCTTTATCCAATCCCTTATTATTTTAAAACTTTTTAACTACATTTATTTATTTTTGAGAGAGAAAGAGCACAAGTGGGGGAGAGGCAGAGAAAGAGGGAGACCCAGAATCCTGGAGCAGGCTCCAGGCTCCCAGCTGTCAGCACAGAGCCCAACGCGGGGGGGGGGGGGGGGGGGGCCGCCACAAACTCATGAACCGTGAGATCGTGACCTGAGCTGAAGCAGGATGCTTAATGCACTGAGCCACCCAGGTGCTCCTCCAATCCCTTATTTTTATGCCATCATCAAATGGCATCTCCCCAAACAACTCTCTATGGGACCAAAAAAGAGGGGAATGGATTGGAGAGACAGGAAAGTTGGATCAATACATCAAATAAAACTCTCCACTGGGTGTGTACCTCTTTGTGAAGCACTTTGTGACCATTTGACGCTGGTGACCCAGGGGACGAACCTGTGTCCCTGGTGAGGAAGGACCAGCGCAGACAGACCTCTTTCATTTTGTCTCACAACTAATCTTCCACAAAATCACCAATAAGCTCTTTCTTCTGGGCACCGTGTCATCACGGCTTCTCTGCTAAAGCAATTACACACAATGGTGTGAAACTATCTGCCTAAGGGGAATTCAGAATTATAACCCCACCATTTCTGGAGCAGCGCCACATGCGCTCTCAGCACTCTCCCACACTGGGGGCACTTCGGCGCCGTGATGAGGGATTAGTTTTAGTGGGAAAAAAATGAAATAGCTTTAAAGCACTTTTCTGAGTATCATTTTTGTGCCTGGTCTTTCTTCTACTGAAAACATTTCCATATTCTTTCAATTTAATTCCTATAATTATTTTGTGGAGTTATCATCCCTTTTCCACGTGAAGGAGTTGAGACAAAGCAGTTCAACGATTTGCCAGAGTCCTTGCAACTAGTGGTTTAGATTCAAACCTGGGTCTTCAGATTTCAAATTCACAGCTCCCCAGTAAAACCGTATCGGCTTTGTTTTACCTCGTTATCAAAATATTTGGCCAGAATTTTTAAGACATAAGGGATATTCATGAATTTTAGGCTAGTAGTCTTGGTTCTATTTAATGTTATTATTTATTTAAAATGTGTCTCAGAATATTAAGTTTTAGAAAATTTGGGATGATGTGAAGCTCTTGGTTGATGTGGAGGAAAAGCATGACCTAAACTCATGAGAACATGTTTGAATTAACAGATTAACACCAAATGGATAAAGTTTTCTTTATTTTAATTTAATGATGGCTTGTTCTAAATATGGAAAATCAGCAACTTCAAGTATTTTTTTCATCTGAATTATTCTTTGGTACTTAACATTCCTATTTATATGCAGATTTGGGGATTTGTCTTTGCTTGCCAATGATGGGCACACATTTTATCTTCTTTACGTGCCATCCAAGTCAGACTGCACTCTCCTATCCCTGTACCTTGTTCTCCTGGGAACCCAACTTGGGATAATAATACAGAAGGTAAAATCGTCATCACATTACTGCAGCTAGGCAGAGTCACCCTTATTCTGAACGCCACAGATAATATTCCAAATGCTGTAGTATTTCCATCAAAGCAGTTATTATATTCACCATTTCTATGTACGTTATGCAGTTCTAAATTTTCTATTTGAATTTGTAGCATAACATGGCCACATTTTACCCCTTAAGCTGTCTCTGGAATAAAGTGCAGCAATAAGTTCATTTTGGAACCAACATTTCAAGATTCAGACAAGCTCCACTTAGAACGGTCAACATATGGTTGACCTCCATACTGTTTTATGGAGGTTCCTCAAGACAATTAAGAACACAACCATATGATTAGACAATCCCATTCTGAGTATACATCCAAGGGAAACGGCACCGCTATCTAAAGGGATATCTGTACTCCGATGTCCGCTGCAGTCCTACTTACAAAAGCCAAGAAACAGAAACAACCCGCGTGTCCATCAATGGACACATGGACAAAGAAGCTGGGGTTTACATTTACAGTGGAATATCACTCAGCCATGAGTAAGAAGGAGATCCTACCATTTGCAACAACATGGACGGACCTCAAGGGCATTATGCTTGAGTGAAACCAGTCAGACAGAGAAAGAAAACTATGGTACAGTTTCACTTATACAGGGAAACTAAAACAGCTTAACTCATAGAACAGAGTGGAATGATGATCACCAGGGAAAAGGGGTGGGGGAAACAGTCCCAGAAAGACTGGGTCAGAAGGTGCAAACGTTCAGCTATAAGATGAACAGGTTCTGGGAAGCTAATGTGTGAAATGGATAGTTAACAGTACTGGATTATATTCTTGAAAATTGCTAAGAAAATAGATCTTAAATGTTCTCACCATTCTCCCCCACAAAAAAAAAAAGTAATTATGTGACGTGACGAAGGCATTAACTATAACCTTATTATAGTAATTATTTCACAATATATACATGTATCAACATAATTTAAGCCTACTTCTTAAATTAAAAAATAAGAGATATATTGACTATATATCAATTTGCTGGTTTCATTATAGAAAAATAATGGTGGACTTTGGGAATCACCATTTTGATTCTACTGTTTTGGAGTAAAACATTGATATAATCAGATTCTGACTTGGAAAAGTGAATCCATTAATCTTTTTTTTCTTTTTTCCCAAAAGGATGGCTACAAAATAAAGTTGCCTTAGGGCTAACTTCATGCACTATGTTTAATTTAAGGACTCGGCAGCGTAATTGTTTTTTTTGACTGTAGAAATTCCTTAGAACTGTTCTACATATCATCAAATCATAACGTGATGCTAAGCTTGGGCTGTCTGTAAAATCAGAGTATGGCTCATCCATCAAGTTCTTGGCATCATAGATAACGTCAGCAGTCTGGGTACACGCTGAGAAGGTGCCGTTGAAAGATCTGTCGTTCACAGGCAGCAGCGTGACCTCAGGGAAGGACCTCAAGACATCTAAGCTTGTTTTCACTTTTGCAAAATAGAGAAGTGAAACCACATAAATCAGAGGATCAGCTTCTGGCTTCCTTCCTTCCACGCAGTGATCTAGCCAGACATTCCTGAACAAGTGCCTGTTCCATATCCACACAGAAGTTCATTTAAACATACGAGGCCATGAAGGATACAGTGAAATGGGGGCGGGGGTAACAAGTGATGCTGAAGCACGTTACAGAATCCAACATAAAATACCCAGTCCGCATCCAATAAATACAGGATCCTACACAAATGTAAAGCCATGACCATAAATGTGACATAATCCTGCTTCTCTCCTTGAATCACCTCTGGTGCAGTGTAGGGGACCTTGCATCCAGGAAAGGTCCCAATTTAGAGCTGGTGTTATGGACAGCACCGGTTTGGACAAGAAAGTATGCGGTTACCCCACGTATGAGAGGAGAAAGAAAACAGTCACCTGTTCATAGACTGGATAAGACCATCTATATCTTTATCATTTCAGTGTAGGGCGAACAGGGAAGCCATACCTAAAAGGAAATCCACTCTATCTCTAATTTAAGGCCATGACGCTGACCTTTAAGAGTATGAAAGTACAGTCGTTACTGAGAAATCTACACGAAAAATAACTCTTCTCAATTTTATTTTCTCCATTTTCTTGCAGATCTTCTCAGTGGAAATGCTATTTTTCTTCTACCTTGAATAAACCGGTCTCTGAGGTGAGTCCAGCCAGTACACAGCACCGTTTATAGTTTGCTCTGAAAGCTAAAGGCCAGTGACTGCCTGTGCCGTGTTTCCCTAATTAATGGCTGACGGTCATTGGAAACAAGCAGCTCTCTTGAAGACACCGGGACCCTGAGTTATGGCAAAGTTCTACGTGTAAAAATAATTAATCTTTGCTCCACTAAAATCTCTCAAGAGAGGAAAAGACAGTGTGGGCGTCGTGTCCATAACTGTCCTCCACGGTCAGGACTGAGTGTCCCTCACCAAGGTGCTGAGCAAACAGCTTTCAGCAATTCCCCACCTTCTCTCTCTTCTTTCTCTTCCACCTGTTCTCTTTCATTATCTGAATTTAAAGACTTCTCCCTTCTAAATATGAAAAAATTTAGGACCAAATTTTAGTGATTTCTTTACTCAGTGCTGCTGCTGCTTCTTGCTTACAAAGATGTTCAGTGCGTTCAGGCCATTGAACACTGAGTTTGTTTCAACTGTTTTGAAGTATTTCAATACCTTGTATTTAAATACAACTAAAGTACATAAGAGTGCTGGACACAAACTGGCCAGAATAAATTTGTGTTGCATGAATGGTGAATGGACACAATAACACATTTTTATCCAAAATTACAAATACTGCCTCTCTTATTTTGAAATGGAATATAACAAAATATAAAGCACCAATTTTAAATGTGGTAAGTCTCAAAAAAATCTTTTATAAGTGCCAGTAGGAAGTTTAGTCATCTAGTGATCCTTAAGAAAAGGGGATAATGTACTTTGTAGAAGTGCTTGGCACACAGATATTAGACCTTGCATCTGCTAAATGAATTTGGAGCCTGGTTCCTTCACATAAAAGGCAATAATAATTACTGTTCAGAAGGATAATAAAAACTATTTTTTCTAATATGTGTAAAACTTTCTTACATGTGCCTAATAAATATTAGTAATCATCTATAATTATCATATACAAAGTGAGAGATGTTGGGGAAAAAAGACCCCAGGGTAGGGGGTACCTGGGTGGTTCAGTTGGCTGAGTGTCCAACTTCAGCTCAGGTCATGATCTCATGGTTGTGAGTTCAAACTCTGTATCAGGCTCTCTCTACTCTTAGTACAAAGCCCACTTCAGATCCTCTGTCCCCTTCTCTCTCTGCTCCCCTCCTCCCTCGCTCTTTCTCTCTCTCTCAAAAAAATAAAAATAAACATTTAGCACTTTATTTTTTTTAAGTTTATTTATTTTGAGAGAGAGTGCACACATGCACAGGAGCCTAGGAGGGGCAGAGAGAGACAGGGAGAGAGAGAATCCCAAGCAGGCTCTACACCACCAACACAGAGCCCCCATGTAGGGTTCGAACTCACAAACTGTGACATCATGGTCTGAGACCAAGTCAGACACTTAACTGACTGAGCCACCCAGGTGCCCCTGAAAAAAATAAACGTTTTTTTAAAAAGCCCACTTGGAAAAAAACGTATAAATTCTAGACTGTTCAGTGAATTGACATTTAGTGCCACTCCTACAAGATGTCCCTAGGTCCAGACTTCTCAATTTAAGGAACAAACTTATATTTTAAGCATTCTGGGTGAAACTGTAGCATGGTACAGATTCTGACATGCTATAAAAATGGAGATTACTATAAAGCTATAGTAATCAAGACAGCTCCATACTGGCCAAACTGACAGATAAAATGGAACAGAACAGAGAGCCCCAAGACAGACCCACAAATATAGTCAACTGATTTCTGTTTGACAAAGGAGCAGAGGCAATTCAATGCAGAAAAGACAGACCTTTCAGCAGACGGTGCTCAACAACTAGACGTACACACGGAAAACACTGAATCTAAACACAGATCCCACATCCTTTGCAAAAATTAACTCAACATGGATTACAGACCTAAATGTAATATGCAAAAGTATACAATACCCAGAAGGCAACAGGAGAAAATCTAAGAGACCTTGCATCTTGCAATGACTTTTTAAATGCAACAATATTGGTATGATCTATTAAAAAAGTTGAGAAGGTGGACTTTATAAAAGTTAAAAACTTCTGCCCTGTGACACGTTAAAAGAATTAGAAGGCGAGCCACAGATGGGAGGATAATATTTGCAAAATATATATCTGATGAAGAACTTTTATTCAAAATATACAAAGACTCTTAAAACTCAACAATAAGAAAACAGACAAACCAATTAAAATGAGCAAAAACCCTGGACTGGCATCTCACCAAAGACACATAGGTGGGCAAACAAGCATAGGAAAAGACACTCCAAGAAAATGTCAATTAAACAACGAGATACTATTATGTGCCCGTTACAACGAGCAACATGCAGAATGCCCATAACACCTAATACTAATGAGGATGTACAGTAACAAGAACTCTCGTTCACTGTTGGGAATGCAAAATGGCGCAGCCATTGTGGAAGACATTTGGGCGGTATCTTACAAAACCAAGCATATTCTAAGATCCAGCAACCACACTCCTCAGTATTTACCCAAAGGAGTTGAAAGCATGTCCACACAAAAACCTGCATGTGGATTTTAGCAGCAACTTTATTCATAACTGCTAAAACTTGGAAGGAAAGAAGACGTCCTTCAAAAGATGATGGATAAACTGTAGTCATTTCAGACAAGAGAATATTATTCAGCACTAAAAACAAATGAGCCATCAAGCCATGAAAAGACAGGGGCAAAACTTGCATGTTACCAAGTGAAATGAGACATTTTGAAAAGGCTACATACTGTATGATTTCAACTATATGACATTCTGGAAAAGGTAAAACTATAACGAGTAAAAGGACCAGTGTTTTTCAGGGGTTAGTGGGGAGAGGAGGGATAAACAAGTGGAGAACAGGAGTTTTTATGGCAATGAAACTATTCTGTATGAACTACAGTGGTGGCTACTTGACATTGTCATTATTCAGATATACAGCATACACAACACCAAGAGTAAACCGTACTGTCAACTATGGACTTGGGGGAGGGCGCCTGGTGGCTCAGTCGGTTGGGTATCCGACTTCGGTTCAGGTCATGATCTCACAGTCTGTGAGTTCAAGCCCCATGTCGGGCTCTGTGCTGATAGCTCACAGCCTGGAGCCTACTTCAGATTCTGTGTCTCCCTCCCTCTCTCTCAGCCCCTCCCCTGCTCATGCTCTGTCTCTATCTCAAAAATAAATTAAAAAAAAAACAAAACAAAACAAAACTATGGACTTGGGTTGATAATGAGATGCCATGTTGATTTGTAAGTTATAACAAAAGTACCGCTCCAGAGAGGGCTGGTAATGATGGAAGAGGTTGCATGTGTGTTTGGGGGTAGGTGGGGGTGCGGTGACATGGGAACTCTCTGTACTTTTCCACACAAACTTTCCTAAAACTTTCCTTAAATAACTATTTATTAATTACAAAATGACAACCAAGGAAAACAACACCAAAGAAAAAGTAAACAAATATAGAGATTAGCAATGCAGATGTAAACAGAAATGCATGTCAGCTCATAAGAGAATCTTCACTAATACTGTTTGTTTATTTCAATTAGCTCGTTTCTAAATAGCATAACTAAACTTGAAGTTAGCTCCCAAACTGAGTTTTAAAAATATAATGTGAAGGGGATTTTTATTCAAGTTGTTCTAAAACTGCTTATTGGTCCAAAAGCAAAATAAAAAGAGACAGGAACAAAATAAACAAACAAAAGGCTAGGGGTATAATCCTTGTGATACTGAAAATATCAACCATGTGAAACAGTCTCTGAACTAAAGCCCTCCTTTAAAAATTTGTGAAGGGTACTGGAAAAACTAAGAAGAAGAGCACAGATGTAGGAGAGAAAAAGAGATTAAAATTCCTAAGCAGGCGATGCACAGTAATCAGATACAGAGTGTAGACATTTGAGATCCTGATTTATACAAACCACAGATTAAAGATAATGGGGGGGGGGGGGGCGCCTGGGTGGCTCAGTTGGTTAAGCGTCCGACTTCAGCTCAGGTCACGATCTCACAGTCTGTGGGTCGGAGCCCCGCGTCGGGCTCTGTGCTGACAGCTCAGCGCCTGAAGCCTGCTTCAGATTCTGTGTCTCCCTCTCTCTTTGCCCCTCCCCCGCTCATGCTCTGTCTGTGTCTCTCTCTCTGTCTCTGTCTCTCTGTCTCTCTCTCTCTCTCAAAAATAAATAAATATTTTAAAAAATTTAAAAAGATAAATTGGGACAACTCTGAAGAAATAAACATATTAAGAAATTAATAAATTCAATTTTGTTTGGTGTTTTAAAAGTGTACTATCCTCATGCTTTATATAAAAGGTATGCCAGACTGTCTATGTATCTACCTATCTACACACTTCTATATGTTAACTATTTACAAATAAAATAATGTGATGTCTGGTATTTGCTTTAAGATACCTGGAGGGGGGAGGGGGGCTGTGAGAAGGTGAACAGATAAAATACAAATGACGGAATGGAGAACACAGCAGTTCTCTTTACAGCTCTCTCCACTCTTCTGTATATTTACAATTATCCACAGTAAATAGGTTAGTGTTAAGTAATCCAACGAGTGAAATACTGTCAATTTAAAAAGTGTTATCTCACCTTAATCGTGGACCATACACTATGTGTTAATATCATATGGTGCATTTTAAGGACCATCTTAGTAAAAATGTGACTAATATAACCATTCGTAACCCACCCATACAATGAGAAAATAACAATCAAACAACTCCACACTCCGGTTTAAACTGTAGGATCTGTGCTCCGACATGGTTTTGGGGCACATGTAATGAGTTTCTGGGAGCTGTAGACCTTCCCTCCCCCTTCCATACCTCTTTACTCCTTCACGATTATCCTTAAGTCAATCACAGATTTTTTTTTAATTTTTTTTTTAACGTTTACTCATTTTTTGAGAGACAGAGAGCACGAGTGGGGGAGGGGCAGACAGAGAGGGAGACACAATCCAAACTGTCAGCACACAGCCTGACGCGGGGCTCGAACCCATACACTGTGAGATCATGACCTGAGCTGAAGTCAGACAC